AGAATAATTAAAAGATGTTTATAAAACATTGTATTACTATGTAACATTATCCATAGAGAGTTGAATCTTTACATTTTGCTGTTTTTGTTAATTTCCCCCGATTGAGAAAATCAAAACTTAATTTTCTTGCAATAATGACTCTTGCATTTCAATCAGAACTTCAGCATTAGAGTTTATAAGTAATCAGCCATTTCTCTTATTCTTAAGAGGTTAAGACTCTAGAATGATACTTTTATAATTATGCAATCCTCATATAATACTGTTCTAAGTTATATTTAATATAACTGATCATAAATGAAGTTTACTAAACTCTGATTGCCTGACTAATGCACAAGCTTATTGCTGTTCCAGAGTTGATTTTAATGAAATATATGGTCACTATATTTACTGGTGCAATATGTCCTTATCCTAATGACCATTATCGTTAGATTTGCACAATAAAAACATACTAAAATGACTTTAATGAGTGCTTTTAATTCAGGGCTGTGACTCTAATGAAGTTTTTTTGGTCATTTTTTTTAACTGCATAGTAGCTCTATAGTTTGTACACAGGAGTAAAATCCGTGTCTGCATGCATGGGTGTGAAAGAGATGTGTGCACCTGTATAAATGATGTTCAGATAAAATTCGAGTGCTTGTCCCTGTAGAACATTATCATTACTGAGATTGTATTGTAATACAATCATGTAAAAATATATGTTTTAAAAGTCAGTTTGTGTAAAATTGACTGTGACTTACTCTTGTCAGAACTCTTTCTTTTTGGTATTGGTTTTTGTTATTGTTCTCAACTCCTTTTGTACCTTTCTTTTTTTTACTAATATAGAAAGACAATCGTGGGGAAGAAAAAAATTATTTTCTATTGCGCAGATAAATTAATTGTAACTTACACAATAATTTCAATGTATTTTTCATGTCCAGTGGCCAAAAGTCACCCCTTCTGAGATACAAAACTCTTCATATCTGCTTAAAGATTTTCTTTTTCAATAGACATTTGTTTATTCTTTTCTGGACAGTTATAAAGAAGATTTCTAAATAATGGTATCAAGCAGATATTTATGAAAGTAGATTTTTTTACGTGAGGGAAACCTATGAGAAAATATTCATATTAGTCAAATGTGCATAGTTATATAAGATATACACTCTGTAGGTGAAGGAAGCTTATAAATCAAGAAATCATGGGTGAGCAGAGTGTTTTTTTTTTATGGTTCTTTATCATAAGTAATTGCAATAATTTTTGTACATGAATATAATTTCCTATGTGCCTGAGGATGCTCTATCATTCTTGAAGATACCTGTTAGGAAAAAAAAAATCTTTAAGAAAACACTAAACAAAGTATAATCCTTCTTCAGTATTTTCAACATTTGGTTTCTCAATAACCAAACATTAAACTCAGGGATAGCTTTAGAAATAGAAATGTATCTAGCTAGATGGTACTTCAGGTAGAGGGAACAGTGGGTACAAAAACAGGACCCACTGGGGCATATATTTGGGAATAGAATTTCTATTTTTGTTTTCTATAGCATATGGATCATGAGGGAAGGAAAGAAGTAGAAGGTACCCTAGAGCTGATTAATACAGGACTTTGAATGCCATATTAAGGATGATGTTCTTTATTCTGTAGGTCATGAGGAGCCGTTGAATGTGAATGGGCATGTGATAGTCATTTATAAGTTTTATTGGGCTTCTGTGTGCCTGTGCCAAGCACTGCTCTAAGGCATTAAGGGTACATCCCTGAACCAAACAGGTGAATAACCCTGTTCTCATGAAAATCACATTTTTAGTGGGTGAAACAGACAAAAAATAATAATGCATAGACTATATTAAAATATAAGTCCTATTGAAACAAGGAAAAGTAGAATACAGTACGGCAGGCCAGGAGTGCCAGGAGCGTACAGAGGAGTTGTGTGTTTCTGTTTAAATAGAATGGCCAGAGTAGGCTTCACTGAGCAAAAACTCAAAAGGGGGTTGATGGAGTAAGTCTTATGGATAATGGAAAAGAGCCTTCCAGGAAGAGAAGAGCCGGTGCTTGTGGCTTATTGCCTTATTGAGGAACCACGAAGTGGTCGTTGTGACTGGAGCTGACTGAATGAAAGGGACAGTAGTAGAAGACAGGTCAGAGAGATACAGAGAATGTGCAGATCAAAAGGGTCTTGTAGGCCATTGTAAGGATTTTGGCTTTCACTTGGAGTGAATATAGGGAGCCATTGGAAAGTTTTGAGCAGAGCGACATGATCTAATTTTAACAGTATTACTTTGTCGTGTTCAAAATTAACTGTAGGAGAGTAAAGGTGGAAGCAGGGAGACAGGTTAGGAGGTTTTTCCAGAAATCTAGGTAAGAGGCGATGGTGGCTTGAACCCAATCTTTGCTTTAAGAAGATGATTTTGGTAATGAGAGAATGGAAGCAACGGTAATGATTAGGAGGCTGTGGAACGTGGGGGAGGAGACCAAGGTGACACAGAAGTCTTAAGCCTGGATCAGTGGAATGCAGATAGTACCAGTAAAATAAATGTTATCCTCCCTTTTTAAAAGTCTGTCCTGACCCTCTGAGACCACATTTTGCTCACTTTGTGTTCATGTAGTGTTTCTACTGGGTTATTAATTTATCTTTTTTTTTTTTTTTAACCTCTTGCCACCTACCTGGAAATTGTCTGACTCGTAGAATTTTGGCAGTGTTAAAGAATGATTAGGAAGATAAAATTTAAGAATTGTGGAAGACTGAATAATCTAAATTTGCATATAGTTTGTATATGGAAAATATCAAATTAATTAGCCACTTGATGAACATAGAGCATATTGGTCAAAGTGAGTTCGGTGGATGACATGTAAAATGTATTGAGGAAAGACTGTGGTTGCCAGGGTAATGCTCTTTGGAATGATGCTTGACCCCCAGGGTAATGGCAAAAGGCAGTTACCTAAGATGGTGTCTATGAATTTGAGATTACCATGAAATGTTTTAATTCAGTAATTCAATCCTAATATCCTAGAGCTTGACTATACTCACTGAAAAGGTTGTATGTTGACTAGGAATTAGTGTCTAGTAGTAACCAGATCTGTTGTCCCTGGGCAAGTCGCACTCTTCAAGCTTCAGTTTCATCATTTGTAAAATGAGGGTTTTGACCAGATGATCTCAAATTCCATCCAGCTTTAATAGTCTCTAACTCCATAACATGTGATAGAATATAGACAGAAATGTTAATTTTACAAAGAGAAAAATATTCAAGTCTCTTCCTGTAAGACAAGGTGGAGATATTGCTAGTAATACTTTTTTTTTTCTTTTTACTGTCCCCCACTGTCAACATATAGACAACTGAGATATAGATTTAAAGCATTCCAGACATATGTGTACCTTAACTTAGAAAATTTGACCAAATCAAATTATATTTTCCCTTAATTTACATTCTCACTTTGAAGATATAGATGTGTTTCCAATCTTGATTTTATAACCCCCAGAAGATGGAAGAAAAAAAATCAGGAGTTGCTGAAGAACTATATAATCTATCTAATCATTTGGTTCAGGTACACATCCGGATGGTAGCAGGGTAGTTGAGGCACTTTTGAGGCTCTGACATTTCTCACTCAGTTTTTCATTACAGGAGATCATGAAGCTTGTCATTGTGCATAAAAGTTTTCTGTAACCCACTAGGAAAATTAGAGAAAATATCAGCTGGAGATAATCGTAGGGTGAATTGATCTCTCTTAAAATGGCTTCAGTTCTGATATAGATCATCCCCCTTCTTTTATTTTGCCTAGGCAGTAAAGATTGATTGGGGTCTATGTCATAGGATGTGATGAAGACATAGTACAAAGATGGTAGAAGTGTAGATCCCTGAGGGAATCATTGGGTTAATAGTAGACAATGAACTGTACACATAATAGTATATTTGTCCCAGCTGATCCAGGTAAGGATGATCTTTAACAGCATTTGGTTGGTGGTATTTGAAGACAATTTCTTGAGATCCTGAGACCAATAATTCTCACTTACTTAAAACTCAGTGGAATTCTCGCCACCTGTGAGACCATATTTTTTTAGTAAAATGGTATTTGAGCATACAAGACCAAGTTGATGCACATTATTCAGCTTATATTGTAGGTAATAAGTGTACAGGATATAGTAGAATAGTTAATTTCAATTCCTAACAGGAATTTAAACAAAACAGGTTCTTCCCTAATCATGTCTTAGTTGACACTTCAACATATTTATAATATAATAATAACTACCCTTCATGCTCATTGTATGTTATTGTAAGATCTCGAAAATATCTTCTGAATCACGAAAGATTATTAAATTATTAATTACTTTACTTACTTTAGTATTGCTTTATTTTAATTCTTCAAATAATGGTGCCCATATATGTTATGTGGTAGTTTTTGTTAACCACTCTATTTTATTAACTAGAATGCACCAGTTCCAATGATTCTCAGCATTAGAAGTAGAAAACCATATGCAAAAAAAAAATGCATTGGAGTTTTTGAGAAATAGGCATATGTTAACAGAATCAGTAAGTTCAGTTTTACCCAGAATATTTATAAAGGTGTCCTTTAAGCATCCATCAGATGTAACTGAGTTCTAGACTGAGCTGCTTTATTATATTTCATTACTATTAAATGTGACATTTTTCCTATTCATATAATTTTAAAAAATTATGCATTGTAAAAACATGATTATTCATTCTAAAACTGAAAAAAAAAACTTGAAAGGGCTTATGGCTTTGCTATATCTTTTGTCATGTTTAAGTACTGTGGTCAAGAAGTCTTATTCAAATGCGACTTTGAGACCATAGGTGTCATCTTTAAAAACAAATACCCCCCACCTTCATTTTTGATCCTTAAAAAGTATTTTTTCCTTTTGTAAAAAATGTACTCATTTATATATTAAACTTTGTAATTCTTTTAAACTAGCGATAGTTGAGAAACTAAAAAGCGAGAGTCATTCAGATATTTTCTTGTATCTATGAATTTCTCTTATTGACAGGTTTTTTTTTTCTTTTGGTTTTAATAGAACATTCAAATAAAAACTTTGGCAGATGATGTGGTAAGGTGTCTTAGTAGCATGTTATATTACTTATGCATGTTGCCTTTTTATTAAAGTGAGTGGACATTAAAGCATTGATATATGTAAGATATAAAATGTTTAGATGTTTACAAAGCACAGTAGGTTGGAAGAATTATCAAGAGTGACTTTTTTTAATGTTAATATAAACAATTGTATGAACTCTCAACAAAATTTTGATATCATCTGAATGTATACCTTAACCAGTTTTTTAAATCTCTATATCAATTTAAGTCTGGAAAACACAGATGTTTCCTTTTTTGATAGCCAAGTAAATTGAGTATGAATATGTTAAATATTAATATTGGAAGAAATTAAAATAGAAAGTTAAGTTTATTATGTTAGTCAGATATTTAAAATTCTTAAATATTTTTAAGCTGAATCTTATAGTAAAACTTACTAAAACTTGTGGGCTTTAACATTTAAATGTGCCCTTTTGTAGCTAAACTTAAAGAAAATGGTATTTTAAGATAGATAGCTTCACCAGTTTTTTACTTGGTGAAGCTACCTATCTACAAATAATGCAAAATATTGTTAATGATTTAAGAATGTGAAAGTATATGGCTTAAATTCATCTGTTTGTTGAGATACAGCTGAAAGCAAAAGCCAGTTTTCTAGATAGAAATGAAGGGCATGGTGAAAGATCAAATATATATGTAAATAATGCTACTCAGTAAAAAACAAAAAAACAAAACTAGCACTGCAAAAGTAAATATGAAGTGATATGAGGGGACAGAAACAGATATGTTGATTTCATGATTGATTGCATATTTAAATGCTTTCATGTCCACCATATCTTTTAGTGAAATTTGACTGTTGGATATATACTCAGCTTATTTGGGATTACTTAATATTTTTTCTTCAGTTGTTTGAAGATATACTATGTATCTAAACCAACTTGATTTTCCTCGGAGTTAAAAGAAAATCTGAAAATTCAAGGTGATTCAAAGAAATGAATCTTAACGTGAACACTGGGAAAGGAACCAGGGACTTATGCATTTAGCGACTTTTTTTTTGTGAAACAAGAGAGTCGATCTAGATGATTTTTCAGGTTTCTTCCCACTCTATATGATTATATATGATTTATATACTCATAATATTTTTGTAAGCATCCCTGTACTAAAATCAATTTTGTAATCCTAAATAAGCTGCCTAAAACTGCTCGTATTTCTTTCAAAGTACACCTTTTAATAAAAAAAAGTGTTCTTTGAATCAAAATGAAAAGTATTTTTTTAATGGGGGTCAACAGAAATTTACATAAGTTATGGTAATAACTTCTATGATGCTTTTTGTATTGTTGAAGTCATTTATAAGGACTCGGCAACAGGCAGTGAAGATGTGCTGTCCTCGCATCTAATATATGTCTGCTGGTTTAACTTGAGCTAACAGTATGTATGCATGTGTTTCCTAACAGAAACCAGAATAAAACTGAGTTGCATTCAGTTTTATGGTCATTACTAATTTTTGATGTCTAAGTTCTGTGGTTTAAAACAGAATGGCCTGTTTACATGCAACTGGAGTTAATGTACTTTATGTGAAATAGCAAGCTAATCATTAGAGATTGTACATGGTATCAGTGGTTCTGAGTCAATATCCATTAAATAGCAAGTTCTTCCTAATAGTATTTGTAGGATTAAGATATTTCTGTTTATGTTGTGTTTTCTGTAAATGGAAAAGGTGATGCTTCTTGGTCCCATCTTTTAAGGAAGACAGAGATAGGGGAACTAATAATATTAGTAACAACAACAATAATAAATAGAAGCTAAGTGCATTAAGCACATCAACATATTTTAATCTCACAATCACCCTATGGTATAGGTAATATCATTAGTATTAAGTCATTATCCCTATTTTAGAAGTGAAGAAGTTCAGAGAGAGACCAACTGATTTGCACAAGTTACTCAGCTAGTAAATGGCAGATTCAAACCCAGGTAGCCTGGCTTCAGAATCTGTGCTCTTAATCATTATACTCTAATGCTACACTGACAAAGTATTCAGATACTTGTCACAATTTTTGGCACTTTGAAGAAGAGAAACATTACTATAATTCCCCTTAGAAGTGAATATTGGAAGCTCTTTTATTTTCTTTCTCTTTTTCTCATAGTTCCAACAGAGATACATTCTCCCTGAAACAACCACATGACTTGGATGCAGGACTTTTTCCACTTGCTTCCTGTGCAAAACAAATGACAAGGGATTAAGTTTTACTTTTGAAGAGTACTTTTCACCCCCCAGACTGCTGAGGCTGAAGGGCTACTTCAGGGTTTCAAAATAGTACAATCTCTAACTGGAGCTTGCTGCTTAAAATAACATTTTGTCAAAAAAGACAGTAATGATGTATATTATACTAAGTGCCGTTTTGATGTTTCAGTTCTTCATTTTCGTGATACTCAATCTCTTTCTTTTGGCTTATTTTTTTTCTCTTTGCAGCGTGACCGAATTACAAATTTTAGAAAATCTACTGTCAAAAAAGAAAAACCTCTTATTCAACATCCTATCGATTCTCAAGTTGCGATGAGTGAATTTCCAGCAGCTCAGCCATTATACGATGAACGATCTTTGAATTTGTCAGAAAAGGAAGTACTGGATCTCTTTGAAAAAATGATGGTACAGTAGAGCCTTAATTTTGTTTTAATTTAAAAATGCATGTGCCCAGAAGAGCACTGGGTTTTTAGTAAGTGTGTTTGTATAGACTATGTTTATATCATGAAAAGAGAGACCAGAAGCTTGTTGATACAGCAGAACTATTTTCAAAAGTATCTGTTTTTTGAGCTAAACATTCTTACCTGTCTATCTCTTCGAGTATGAGCTCTTAAAAGCAGGGGCTGTCTTTTATTCTCTAGTATTTGGTAGTCTCTGGCATATCAAAATAGTTTTTCAATTAACTAATTTGTGTTCCTGTTTCAATAAAGCAAAACAGCACTAAGTTCTCTTTGCTGCGCAAGGTATCTTGTTGGGTATATAAAATAGAATTGGGAGGGAAGAAGGTATAAAAACAGTAGCATGAACAGAACACTCCAAGTTTGTTCTGTGTAATTCTTCCCAGTAAGTCATACAACCAACATTTCCTAGCACGTTGCTTATATATTTTATAGCTTATGGTCTAGATTATTTCTTATATGAGACAATACAAGATTTTGAGAATTCAGTAGTTTATGGTAGAAGAGAGGAGAGATGAGGCATTGGGCTATATTGCACTGATTTGTTTGACCAGAGAAGAACTGAAGATCTTGACTCATGATTCATTCATTTACATTTTTATCCAACTTATTATTGTAAATTTTTTTGGGGGGGTTGACTATCTAGAGTTAGTGTTCACAGGAGTTTCAAAGGTCCTTTCATTCACACCAAAATAAAAAGTTAAGAATCACTGAAAATGTAGACCCTTCTACTCTGCCCATTATGAAACCTCTCTCCCCACCCCCAGTAGTTTTCTCCTGTGCCTTGAAGAGTTAATAGCCCATCAGTAAATACCGTTGAAAGTTCAATTCCTTTTATCTTTCAAGTTTTCCTTGCTTGTTCCTTCCATCTAGTCACAGCTGGCATCTGGCTTTCTCCCTGACAGGAGGCCTGACAATCTTACCCTCTTTAGCCCTTCCTGCTAGTCCTGTGGTACACTGTTGTACCCTCTTTTTCCTGCGGCTCCTTCCATGCCATCTTCTTTGAACCATCTTCCAAAAACCCTTTCTCTTGTGAAGTCTATTATCTGCTGATCTTCCTTGATGATAATAGCACCTGGCTATCGTTTTGACTTTTCTCTTGCTATTCATTTTGGTGATTTCAACTATTATGTTGATAACCCCATGCATTTTTGCTCTTAGTTTCTTGATTTTCAAAACTCTGACCTCTGCATCAATACATTTAACTAATTATAGGCATGAGTACACCTTGGACTGAGTCATTCTTTGGAATGATTCCACCTGTGTGAAATCTTTAACTCTGAAATTCTCTGCAGAAGCTAAATAACCTATGTTACCTCTCCCAGGCTCCTAATTTTACAAAGTATGTATTGTTTAGTGGTTAAGATCTTGGACTTTGGGGTCATTCTCACTTGGATTTGTCTTCTGGCTCTGCCAGTAAAAGATTATATAACCTTTCTACACTTCATTTTCCTTAACTGTAGCAAAGGTATAAAAGATCTACCACGTATGGTTATCTTTAGGATTAAAGGGGATGATATTCCTAGAATAGTGCCTGATATATAAGCTTTCTGTATAAATAACTTTATAAATGTTGTTGCATTCCCTTTATCAAATAAAGTTCTGTTCTGTTTTTAGTTGCCAGTATTTCTCAATCGCCTAAATTGCCCCTCAGTTTAACACTTGGATGCCTTATCTTAATCACCCCGAACAGTGATAACAACAACAGAAACAGAAACATTCCTTGATACTATTAACATGTTTAACATTTAAAATTTTTATTTCTTCTCTTCAGTCAAACCTCACTCAAATTATTCTTACTGCTTTAATCTGCTGACCAATTGGTTGCTAATTTTTACAGTATTGAAGTAGTTCGTTGAGTTCGTCAGTGGCATTGCCCTACTCCACAGTTCCCTTAAGCTTGATGCTTATGTGCCATCTTTTATTCCATTGGTTTTCTCAGTCACTTCTAATTGCTTGCCAAATACCATCGTTATGCTTTTGCAATGACTCTTACATTTGTTTCCTCCAGCTGTTCTTGTCTCCTAACAGTTTATCTCCTTTCCTTCACTTTTTGCCCGTTCTAATCCACTATTGCCCTATTAATGATTCTGAAACAATTTTTTCCAAAGCTCCAAGAAGGCTCTCATTTTTCAGATGATCATTTTTTATGTCCCTATGCAATTTTTCCCTCAACTGTGCTCCTAGATGACTATTTCACATCTTTACTTTGCTGTTCAATTCTCAAAACTCTTACCCATATTTTTTTTTTTCTGCTGATGACCTTGCTGCTTAATTTACTGAGTAAATTGAAGCCATCAGAAGAGAACTTTTACCACATACATCTACCTAACTTTTAGTATCTGCAGGCACATAGTTTGTCTTGCTACCTGTCACCATAGGTGAACTTTTTATCTTCTAATCCTTGCATTTGTTTATGAAGTTCTATCCTTCTCACCTCCTCAAGGACACTGCTATAATAATTTTCTCCTCTCCTTCTGCCATTATCAGCAGCATACAACTTGTCTCATTTTATAAAACTTTTTCTTGACCTTATCTCCCTTGCCAGCTACTGCTCTTTTTACTCTCCTTTGAAATAAAACACTTCCCAGTAATTTTGTTTACATTCATTACTTCTCATTTCTCACTTCTCACTTTCTCTCCTAGACTCACTCAAGCCAGGCTTCTATCCCACCATTCCATCAAAACTTATCAGCGTCACCAGAGATCTTCATGCTGCTGAATCCCATGGTCAATTTTCAGTTCTCCTCCTAATTGACCTATCAGCAACATTTGATGCAATTGATCATTCTGTCCGATTTGAAATGCATCCACCTCCATTGATTTGGTTTTCCTCCTGTGTCTTTGAACTGCTTGACAAGAAATAAATTTCTTTAAAATCGCTGATACAATTTATTATTTGCAGTTTCTAGGTAATGATATATTTTGGTGAAACTTTTGGTGAAAGCTTGAATAATGAAAGGCGATATTCAAATGTAATCCTATCTTACTCTGATAATTGAAACACTTGTTTTGCCTGAGGATCATATCTATTAAGAG